CCTATAGCTAGCATGCAATTGTCATACAAACTACATAAAATACTAGATATTGTAACATACCTTTTTGTGTGGCTGGAAGTCTTGATGTATTTGGCCTTAAGAACTTAGCCCCAATAGTGTGGAAGCCTCAAATGAAGTCACAATCAAGGACAAGGTAGGAGGACTTGAGAGAGAATCTCCATGCGCTCTAAAACCTTCATGAACTCCAAGAACATGCACACACACTCTAGGGTGTGACTAGGGTTGGCGGTTTTAGGTCATAACATATGTATTTATATGTGTTGAATTCTAAGAGTCATGGGTATAACCCAAACCCATATCCATGGATCTTATGATCCATGGTTCATGTGGCCCAACTCTTTATGTATCCATATATAAACTTGGTCCAACATGGATCATAAGCCCAACACATATAAATATAACTAATTACCATAATTAGTCCCCATAGTTTTAATTAGTTTCTTTTGATCACTAAATTAATTCCAAATTAGTTATTGATCAATACTAATTAAAACATATGATTTCATATTAATAAATTATAACTTATAATATATTAATAAACCATAAATAACCTTCTCTCAAAAGTCCATCCTAACAAATTGTCCTGATGATATGCAACCCAAATTGACCATGCTACTCTCGGGTCGAATACATACCAATAATAGTTATGGGCTTAGACACCTAATCCAACATTACGTATTCCCTAGCCATTTCCTTTTCTTCCAATTCTTGAGCCATTCTTAGGTAGAATGCTCTGTCTTTCACTACATTTGCCTTGCAATATTTTGCAAAATGATTCTCTTTGTTGCATTTGTGACAAATCACAACATCAATTTTGTCTTCTGAGGGAGTACCGAAGTCAGTGGTTTGGATGGACTGCGGTGCCTCCTTTGGTTGAGTATTTTGTGATTGCGGTGGTGGATGAGAACTTTTGGGATATCGAGAATGGTTATTCTACGGATTGAAGTTACGGTTGAATGGAGGTTTGTTGAACTGCTGATTCTTACGAAAGGAAGAAGGTGGTAGTCGGTTGAACTGTTGACTAACAAGAGCAATAGCCTTCTGAAATTCTTCTTCATCATCATACTTTGAGTCGGCTTCGTATGACTGCGGAGAAGTGTCATACGAGGGAAAGTAGGATTGATTATGTGGAGCTTGTGCTATAAGAGCAAGTGGTCCTCTGAAGTCAGCACAATCTTTGAGTATGGTGGATTCCTGTGCTTGCAGTTCTCCGTAAAGCTTGTAGAGAGACAAAGAATGAATCTTTCTGTCCCCTTGAACTATCATCTTAGCAGTAGTCCAATGTCTTCCCAAACCATTGAGAAACTGAAGGTTTGTTTCATGGTTACTGCGGATGGTGTCAGCGTTAGATAACTTAGTGACTATCAGGTTGAACCTTTTAAAGGAGTCTACCAAACGTTCGCCAGTATGAGCTTTGAAATTGTTGAACTCATTGAGTGCCGTCGTGAGCTTCTTATCTTCAGCTTGTTCCGAGCCTTCATACAAATTTTTGAGAACTTCCCAGATTTCTTTTGCTGATTTGCAGTTTATGATAATGTCGAAGTTGTCAGGAGCAACTCCACAAGAGATTTCATAAAAGGCAACAACATCATTTTCCATTTTATCAAGGTCATCTTTAGTGGGACAGTTCGTGACTGGTTGACCTCCTCCTAGTTTGGCTGCGGCGCCGTCAGTTTGAACTGGTGTAAGAACAGGGACATGTGGTCCTTCTTCTACGGACCGCCATACATCTCTTCCAAGTCTCCTTAAGTATCTTTCCATTCTCTGAGACCAGTGATGATATTCATTTGCCACCAATATTGGGGCTCGATTTGAACCACCAACACTGTTGGAAACATTCAGAGATAACGCTTGTGCCATTTATCCTTTTGAAAAGTTTTTTTTTTAAGAAATGAGCTTCAGTGGTATAGAAGGCCTTTTGAAAATCAGAGTTTATCTTCAAAAAGCAACCACTATGGCTCTGATACCAATTGTTGAGAGAAAAACTTGAGACACACTTGAACAAACGTTAGAACAAGTATAGTTGCGGAATAGTTTATCTCAAAGGATCTAAAAGCTCAACAATAATAATAAGTTAATGAGTTAGATAATTAGAGAGTTAGTTGCGGAAATGTAAGGAAATGTAAATGAGAGCAGGTGTTATATCAAGCATACACATAAGTTGATTCTTAACAAGGAATGCATTCAGACCAAGTTAGTAAGTGAGATCAAACTTAGTGATTAAGTGACGAATGACTTGCTCCGAAGAGAGATAATATTCAGTTGTATTCAAGTGATCTTTGAGAGTAAGAAGAAGACAGTAATAGAACAAGATGCGTAATCAGATAGATGTAAGAGAGAGATGTGTAAGAATTGTATTGAATGAGAAAGATTGAGCTCTATATATAGAGTCTCAAATATTACACTGAATCAGCTATCTAAGAGTAGTCATGCAAGGCATACTGGACAATAGATAGTATTCTAACTAAAGTAGATAAAGTTTAAGCTAAGTAAACTACAAAGAGGAACTGCGGTTGATGATGACTTCGGATGAGGTTGCTAATAAGAGTTGGCTACGGATCCTTGATGATTGCGGTAGACCAAGTTCAAGAGGGTCACTTTTATGATTCAACACTTTTCCCATTTTACCCTTTGGTTCCATCACACGAATCAAGGGCTTAGATCTAATAACCAATATTATCAACCCTCAATAAGGTAAACTTCACTTCTTCAAAGCCCAAAGTCTTTACATGATCGGATTACGATCCACGAGCCCTGAATTAAGGAATGTCCCAAAACAGGGTGTTATAAGATGCACAAACTTTATGGATTTAAACTTGCTATTTTTTTCTAAGCACCTAAAAGAAACCTTAATCCTCAGCATTTGGGCGTAAAACATGAAAAAATAATCTCCAAAGGTAAAGAGAGGTTCAAATCAAGTTAGAGGAGGATAGGCTTTTTGTGGGATCTCTTTAAGAAGTGATGGAGGCTGAGAATGAGCTAACATTAGGGGTTAATGGTGCTTAAATAGCCTCCAAAACTCGAAAAAACCTTTCCTGCCCATGGGTCGGGCCCGTCGCGTCCTTAATAGGTGCCTCGCGCCTACTTGCGAATAAATATAGTATTCAAATTTTAACTAATTGATCAAAAAAAACGTAATTAAATTACACACCAGGAAATGTATATTACATGTAACCTAACAGGGTAAGTACGCCCATTTTGTTGACTTTTAAGTGAGTTTGAACTACTAGATCGACTAAAAAAATATGTAAAATTGGGTTCTAAACCACAATAGCATCTCTTGAAAGGGTGACTATGCCCTTGTTGTTGACTTGTAAGTGAGTTTGAGTCATTGGTTAGACCTTCATTTACTTTTTTACAAAAAGAGCTTCTAAATCGATATTATAAACCACAATAACATCTCCTAAATCGATCAATTGGTTGACATCGAAACAAAATTGTAAATATAATGACATAACAGAGAAAAAAACTCGATGTCAATATCGAAATTTTGTGGTAATATAATGACTTTCTTCCAGTTTGAATTTCGGTATTAAAACCAAATTTTTGTAAATTAGTGACTTTATTGCAATGCAGAAAAAGTGCTTAACGGGAAAACATAGAAAATCAGTTATTTGGTTGATATTGCAACAAAATTGTAAATATAGTGAAATAATTAAAAAAAAAAAAAATAAAAAAAAAATAAAAAAAATAAAAACTGAATGTCAAAATTGAAATTTTATGATAATATATTGACTTTTTAGCAATTTGTCCATTCTAAAACCAAGAAAGGGACTTACACACGTAGGGGCCCTAGCAAAAAGACCCATTTCTACAAAACTACCTTGTTTTTACCAAAAACTTACACTCTATTCCATTTTTCAAAACTATCTTATTTTTACCAAAAACTCACAGCTCCATTTCATTATTTAAATGTACATATATCTAGTGGACTTTTATAAGTCCAAAATAAATTATACAACCTTTTAATCATACCATATGATTATATAACAAGTTATACTTTCTAGTTTTTATTATTTTCATAAAATAATAATTCCCCAAATAAATACATATGTCGATAATAGTTATTTAATAATCAAATTACTAAATAAATAAACAATTAGTGCCTAATTGCTTAAGGTATAGCTCTATAGTATGATATGTTGTTAGCAAATATCATTTCACAATATACTTATCTTGTGTGTGTGTGTGTTCGTCGTGTGTGTATGTGTGTTTTTGTTCTTATTGTTAGTATGGCTTGTAGAAATCAAAAACCTGGAAATCATGTCGTTAGGTTATTGTCTCCAAAATCCAAGTAAAAGGTTAAGTGGAATCAAGGAATCAATAGGTTAGGATTTTTTTTTTATGATTTCTTGAAGTTTATATGAAAGGGAGATGGTGTGGTGTGGGTGTGGGTGTCATATTTTTTATTTAATAAAACTTAAAACTAAATAGAAAAAAAAAAGTATTAAAAAATATTAAACGAGAAAAATAGCATTTTCAAGTTGATGAGTAACTGGAACCACAACAAATGTCCTAGTTAAGGGGACCAAATCTACAAATTGAAAAGTTTTTGGACAAAATCCAAGAAAAAACGCAAAACCATGGGACTGATTTACAATTTTTTTTAAAATATATAAAAAGTCTAGTAAGGCAAAGTAGTATTGTTTTAACCAAAGTTGCAACAAAAGAGTACAAGGACTCCAAGTGGAAAAAACTAAAAACTAATTGTGGTGAAACATTACCAAATCACAAGCATGATTTTATTAATTTAATCTATATCTCTATCAGTTTAATATTTAAAACCTAATCCATCGAAAATTTGTCAAAAAAAAAAATATATTTTTTTTATTTATATTATTTTCTCTAGCACTGATATATCACATCTTTATCATCATACATGATCATGTTCCATTCTTCTATATTCATAAGCATAAATCAAAACATTATGGTAACCTCTCAAATGAATTAAAATATGTGCACGTACGAACATTCATGACTCATCTTCTGCTAATCGGAAACCAACGTTCATGAAAAGAAGACTGGTGAGACACCATATAAATAAGGAAAACAAGCACAATGGCTACACCCCATGGAGACCCTCCGGCTCGATGAAATGAATCTTTCTCAGGCAACGGCACCATGGACGAGAACCATGGCCTTTCACCACTAGATAGCCAGTGTACAAGAAGCAAAAGCACGACAGGAGTGAGCATGAGGAAGATCTTCAAGTTGTACAAGAAGCTCTCAACCTTTGGCTCATAGTTGAGGTACCAAGTGAAGCATAAGAAGAGGAAAACAACACAAAGGAAGAAGAAAAAGTGGATTGGGATAGAAAGTTGTCGGATGTACTCATAGTAGGATACCTTATTATCGTTGTTGTAGTACCTAGCCATGTTTGTGAGGATTAACGACGTAAATTTTTGCTTTGAAAATGAAAGACTGTGTGTGTTTATGTATCAGGTAGGAATGTTTATTGAGAGATTGAGGACTAAATTAAGGAGATTGTGTATTTATAGGTAAACATAGCATTATAAAACAATCATATTTGTCTACAAAAAATTTATATGCTATGGCTGAATAATATATATTTACTTATTTATTTATATTTAAATATATTATGTGGTTTTGCTTGCCATTGGGAAAGTAGAGACTTTTATTTTGGTTAAAGGGATTCCATTTATCAAGTAGGAGTTGTAGGGCTTTCGAGCCTTTGAGTCTTTCATATTCTTTACGAAATTCTTGTTAACCAACAACAGAACGCCACGTAAGACCGACCATGGACAGGAATCTTGGTGAATGATTAAATAAAATGCGATAGTAAACTTGTAAATGGAATGACTTATATTTATTTACCGAGTTATAATAACGAAAAAAAGAGAAAAAAATTAAATAAAAAGAAAAAAGAAATAAAAATGAAAGAAACTTATAATTGGTATTTGAGAAAATTACTAAACTAACCAAAAACCTTAATAACTTATACATTTTTAGCCAAACAAATACCCACTTAAATAGCCCATGAAACCATAGACGATGATGATCGTCTACGGTCAAACAGTGTTTGACTACGGTCAACGGTCATTTTAGAAGTTTGACTATTGTTTCGGGCAATGGCTCCTTTTTTGTGGTTCATCTACTTTTTCATGGCCCATCGGCCCATAATATGTATATGTTTATTTTTTAGATTACCTCATTTGGCCTATTTTTTTCTTGGAGACTGCTACTACTTTCTTTCAATGGAGGTTTCAAAGAACAACAAGCTATTTGTTGTTTTTGGCTGAAATTTACCATATTATTGATTAGGACTAGTTTTTATAAATATAGTTTATTTTTTTTCCAAAAAATAAATGAAACTGTATGCTTCTTATATGTGCATAATTAATCATATATTTTGTGTTAAATCTTAATATTTTTTGGCCATTTTATTGCAATTATGAACAAAAGGTACTTAAATATGTTTAAAATGTATTTGTAGCCTAAAAGATGAGCTCGGAAGCAAAAGGAAGCAATAGGAAGCTCGGGAATTGAAGAAAGAAAGAAAAGAAAGAAAAACCTTGAAGAACTCGGCGAGTTGGGAGCCTACTCGCCGAGTAGGCTCGAAGATTCGCGAACAACTAAGATTCCTTATCGTATATAGATTTTAAGTGGTGGACTCACCGAGTCGGTATATGGACTCGACGAGTAGCCCCTGTTTTCAGAAACTATATAAAGGGCTTTAATTCACGAATTTGAAAAGCTTTTTTTAGAACCCTTGGGAAGCAATTTGCGATTCAAGTTGCTGTTGGAGCCCTGGAACTCGAAGATCAAGTCTAAGCATTCGATTTTGGAGAGATCAAGGCAATTCAAGTGTACTCTTTACTTAATCTTTTGTTTAAACTATGTTTGCATCAATTGATTTCTTTTTTGAGTTGTTTTCTGTTTTAATTATGAGCTAAAAACTCATAACTTCTGTTTAAGATAGATGACTTTATGAATATGGTTTGATTTTATGATTGGATTAATTTAATTTTGTGATTTTGTGTTGTTAAGTTTGTTAAAGAACCTTATGTGTTAAGTACAACTATTTTATGTTGATTAACCAGCATATTAAGTTGCGTGAACATCTCTTAATTGCTAATCTCATATGATTTGTGTGAAAACATTGTTATATGCCTAGGAATAGCGAACGTGAAACTAGGGTTAACTACAAAATAGGTAAGTTAATGTGTGAGCCTTGTGTGACGAACCATCAACAAGAGGTTAATTGAATTAATAATTCGATTAGCTAATTACAAGTCTTACGTAACCCGAATCAATAAACTAGGAAATCTATTAGTTTAATCACTTGATCACTGCTTAAATTAATTTGTTTTCTAAGGATTAGTAATAGCGAACGTGAACCTAATCACACTAATCGGTAGCCAAATCCAATTAATCCACTGCACTTGTCATAAAACCAACCATAGGAATAAATGATTCAAAACCTAAACAGAAGTCTTTCCATTATTGAATTTAGTTTATTTTCGTTTGCTTAGTTGTTAGGTACTTAGTTGAGTATTAGTTAAGTACTTAAGTTTCTAGTCTTGCAAAACTAGAGAAAACCCTTTTCTTTTATTGCTTGCTTTTGGATAATATTAGTAATTAGATTAATTGACGTTCCCTGTGTTCGATACCCTGCTTGCTAAACTATACCATCAATCGACAGGTTCACTGCCTATTTATGTCTAATTTATATTAAAAAGTAGGATTAAAACTACTGCATTCCACACACTTCAACTTCATACGAAACCTACGGTGTAGAAGCCTACAATGCATAGATTGTGTATTGTATACTTGTACACTATAGGTTTCTCCCCAAAACCATAGGTGTCTCCCTGAAATTGTATTTTTTTTTACCTACAGTTAGGAAGATCTTAGGCCATCGAGAGCATAACGTAGGTTTCTAAAAACCTAGAGTTTTGATTTCCAAATATGAAATATATATATATATATATATAATATATATATATATATATATATATAAAACGAAACCATAGGTGAAAGGGCGAAAGAGTAAACAATCCTAATCATCTACGGTTTGGTGGCTATTTTGAGACAATTGTTAATTTTTTGCTAAAAATAGATAAATAATTAGTGTTTTTGGCTAGTTTAGTTATTTGCTCTTTGTATTTTCGATATAAAGAGAATTAAAAATAAAAAATTAACTATTTTGTTATTTTTTAAGTTCTTTCAAACTAGAAGTGAAGGTTTTCTTTTCATTTCCTTTTATTTTTTTTCTCATTTTTTCATTTAGTGTTACTTTCATTTCTTTTCATTTTCTTTCTTTTAATGTTTTTTTATTCATTTAGTATTGTCTTTAACTAGTGAAATGATATTAGTTTTCAGTTTGAAACCATTAGATTCAACATTTAACGTGTTAAAATATTCTATTCATTTCACTTTATACAATATAAGACAAAAATATAAGTTAACATTTTGTTTTCGTTTTTTATTTTTTTTAATAAGGTAAACAAATATTAATTTTTTTTGTTAGATAAATTCGTCGGGTATATACACCACTAACCATTAATGTGGTGAATGTCATATCATTACCACAACCAACCACTAAGGCTATCGGGTGTGGGCAACATGTTAAGAAATGTTATCACATCAAAAAGTTATCACCTCAAATTAGGGATGAACAGTTCATATCAAATCTCGATCATGTACCGATACAATACCGGAACCGGTACCAAACCGTACCGAATTTAAAAATATGGACGGTACTCAGTATTCCAAAATCACGAAATTTGAGATTCGGGTACGAAAAACCTGTACTATTTTAGGTACCGATATCGGTAATGTTAATTCGGTTCGGTACTCGGAATTGAATTTCGATCAAATTCAGTTTTCGGGAAATCGAGAATGGTACCGGTCAGTACTGGTTCCGTCCCACGCTCATCCCTACCTCACATGTCATGTCATATATGGTGTTATAACACCAAATGAGAAAATGAGCAACATGTTATAACATTTTTAAATTTCCATGTAATCATTTCCTTTTTATTTATTTTTCAATTGTTTTTCGATTTATTTATTTTCTATTTTTTCCAATTTGTTTTTTTCTGTTTTATATTTACGTTATAATATTTAAAAAAAAATTAAAAAGACATCCAATTTAATGAATCCTAAATTAAACATAACATTTAAAAACTAAAACTAACATTACGAAAAAAAAAATAACATTGAACGTAAAAGATATGATAGTTTTAATTTAAAAACATAAAAACGATACAATAGTCCTAGTCCAAATATTTATTCTCGGTCTTCTCTTTCATCTTTCAGAGCACTTGCACTTCTCGTGGGGCCATATATTTTGCGCTAGTGCGAACAATTGTCAAATCCTTTGTCATTTTATATTCTTTTGCTTGATGTCGAAGGAATTCCAAGTGATGGCGTTGTATTTCGACTTTTTCTTTTGCTATTAAATTGTGTTGGTCGAACTTTGCATACATTTCCGCCAACTCTTGAGCCCTTCTTTCAGCTTAATCCACATGTCGTTGACTACGCTTCGCTTTGTCGCGTCCGACCGGTCGACGTGTGGAGGGGGGATCTCTTTGATGTCGTCGGAGATCTCATCAGTGTCGGCGTTGAGGTCAATGTTAGTTCGTGCGTCAGAAACGTCAAACAAACTTGAATTGCGAGACCTTTTTAATTGTGTCTTCGACGATGTTGGCGTTTTAATCCATTTTGGATCTTTTCTCACAATCTCTCATATTTCATCATACTCGAAAATGTGACCCATTTCGACGGGATATTGGTCCCTCGCGGCTCAAAAAACATCAAAATCATTCACACCACTTTGCTTTTTCGAAGAAAGTCTGTTGAAAATCCCATTAAACTTGGTGCACCAACAAGTGATTGGAGTCCACTTGCTATTTAGCATATCAATATTGCAATATGGAGTTTTGTTCATAAGTGTGTCAAATATTCCAAGCAAGTCTTCCCAAAAACCAACTCTCCTCATATCATTTCTTGTAGTTGGATTTTTTGACGTCCCGCACCATATGACCGCCAAAGCGTACTCCTCCTTCGGTATCCATCATAATAGATGTTCTTCGATTTTCACGATCTTTTTCCCTTTCTTTTTCCCTTTCCCTCTACCTCTCTGACTACATCGCGGTTGCCTTTCTGGAACCGTATTTTGCGTTTTTGTGTGGAGTGGTGGCTGTATGGTTGTTTGTGGCATAGAAGCAAAGGTATTGAAAAGGTTTTGTTGTAGGCTTTGGTTTTGTTGCATGAAGGGCGATATAAGAAATTGCATTGGGGTGAGGTGAGATTAAAATAGTTTCCTTGAAAAGATATTTGTGGTTTTGAGGGTTGAGAAGGTTCATATAGCCCTCTTATTGCGCAAACCCCATCGGGAGGGATATGTTTG